GCATTAAAGATCTGGTTTTGGCCAATATGCCTTGCAGGCTGTGAGTTATGGAAATCAATAGGAAAGTCTCCGCTATTATGTAAACCAAAACAATAATCGATGCACGAAAAGGAAAATGGTCCCTACTGGATCTTAAATGTTGTCACAACCCTACTGAATAGAAGTGGTAGTGGTAAAATTCATTGGCTGGTTCCATAAAATATCCATACCCACCCCAATGAGGATTACTGTTAGGATAGAGGACCATCAACGTCCACTGTTTGGAGCTCGAAAAAAGTGCCATCCTTTCATTTGGGATGAGTAGATTTTTTTGCTAAGTAACTTTCTATTGTCACTTGATCAATGGGCAAGGGTCCAGGCAAGTTGTCTGGAAACTAAATAAAAGAAAAGTTAACTAAGACTTGCACAGGGGAAGCAAAATTCGAAAGCAGTTTGTCCGAAGGGCAAGCTAGAATTCAAAGTTTTTCAAGCTCTGACTGTTATGTGCCATCCTCTTTAATTAAAGAAAGTTGTTACTACTGCTTTTGGAAATTCGAAGGGGAAGTGAGGTCTTGAAAGCCAGAATTTTAGGATATGAACCAAAACACACAAAACACGCACAATTACTGGAATTGCTACAAACATGGGGTTGGGGGGAGGGGGTAAAACCAAAAAAACCTGCAATGGGAGGAGTATGGATATTTTCTGGAACAACGTATCCTAGAAAAAAGGCTATTTTGTATTAAGACTATTCATTAACCAACTCTTCTCTTTGTATTACAATTAACAAAAAATGAGTAAAAGCATCCACAATTCAGATACTTTTATGACAGGAATGCATGACCACATATGACACAAAGGAAGTTCAAAGATGAACAGTAGATAAGATTTTTTTAACATTGCTACGTACATAAGATGTTCTTTTCTAGCCTTAGGTCTGTAATGTTGCACCACACAGCACTGATACTAGAAGCTGAAATTAGAGAACTCTTAAGTAATTTGGAGTGTGGGAAGTTAACCCAAGTATTTCTTTCGTAGTGTTTGCTAGCCAACATGTAGCCGTATCCACCCCCAAGGAAAAAGGGGACAGAGGGAACATCCCCTCCCTCCTGTTTTTCCTTGGGGGGTGTGTATGGTTACACAAACGCTAAGTGCTAGCCCTAGACAGGAAATAGGGACCACACTAGGCGAGGATAAATTATTTGACCTTGATGGGATTGAAGCCCAACAAAAGTCTGAAGCCATAGGCTAAGGGGTGTACTTGAGAGATATGGCAAAGTTTTCCACATTACATGCTGAGCTAGACAGACCAATGACTTCTTGACTTTTTCTCACTTTGGTTTGTAAAAAAACCTTGGAGTGTTTGGAGAAGTAATTGTGCAAAAATCTGTTCTATACTCATGTAACTATGTCAATTGAAGTGGTGTTGCTCAAAGCTTAGTCCACAGTACAAGCTAACCAAGCCATTGCCCTAAAATGTCTGATGTGTATCGTCGTAGTACAATGTAGTTCCTAGGAGTTTTAGATAAGGTGAAGGTAAGCCAGGTAATCAAGGATATAATGTTTATAATTTTCTGATGTAGATGTGCATTTCTAAGTCACAATTTTTTTAAAATTTTTCCATTGGATAGAAGCCCTCATCAAATTGGAGAAGTTCAATATCTCTGAGTTTTGAACTTTTGAAGTGTAGTGTATAGAGTAATGTTCACCCATACTCAATACTATTATTTTAAATTATTTTGTTTCAGTCATACACNATAGGCTAAGGGGTGTTCTTGAGAGATATGGCAAAGTTTTCCACGATACATGCTGAGCTAGACAGACCAATGACTTCTTGACTTTTTCTCACTTTGGTTTGTAAAGAAACCTTGGAGTGTCTGGAGAAGTAATTCTGCAAAATCTGTTCTATACTCGTGTAACTATGTAAATTAAATTGGTGTTGTTCAAAGCTTAGTCTACAGTACAAGCTAACCAAGCCACTGCCCTAAAATGTCTGACATGTATTGTCGTAGTACAATGTAGTTCCTAGGAGTTTTAGATAAGGTGATGGTAAGCCCGGTAATGTAGGATATAATGTTTATAATTTTATGATGTAGATGTGCATTTCTAAGTCACAAGTTTTTTAAAATTTTTCTACTGGATAGAAGCAGTCATCAAATTGGAGAAGTTCGATTTCTCTGAGTTTTGAACTTTTGAAGCGTAGTGTATAGAGTAATGTTCACCCATACTCAATACTATTATTTTAAATTATTTTGTTTCAGTCATACACATCTGTTTTTAGCAATAAATTAGAACTACAAAGAAATCCTGTAACTCATAAATTAGCTATGTTTATTACCCTGTGCCATTGCTGATGAGGCAAGAGGTGCTAACAGAAGAAAGTTACTAGAGTATTAATTTTTGTTGTAGAAAATAAAAAGTTTGGATAAGAGATTTGAATTCTTGTTGTATTATAGACCTATCTTCTATGTCATTCCATCAAGGCAGGCAAAAAAGTAGGTCCACAATGTGTACTTGGGGTATTATGCTTAGTTTTACTTCTTTCGGTTGGAATGCTGTTTTCAAATGTCAGTATCTGGGAGTTGAATTNCAATAAATTAGAACTACAAAGAAATCCTGTAACTCATAAATTAGCTATGTTTATTACCCTGTGCCATTGCTGATGAGGCAAGAGGTGCTAACAGAAGAAAGTTACTAGAGTATTAATTTTGTTGTAGAAAATGAAAAGTTTGGATAAGAGATTTGAATTCTTGTTGTATTATAGACCTATCTTCTATGTCATTCCATCAACGCAGGCAAAAAAGTAGGTCCACAATGCGTACTTGGGGTATTATGCTTAGTTTTACTTCTTTCAGTTGGAATGCTGTTTTCAAATGTCAGTATCTGGGAGTTGAATTGGTACAAGTGAGAAGGTAGACAAATCGTTACAATTTTTACGTGGGAAATGTATGACAGAATACCGTTTACTTACTTACTTTATCCTCTAATAATAATTATTTATCTAGCTCTTAGTCCTAATGGG